GATTCACGTTGAAGTTTGATCTGAAATTCTTAAATATCACCTTGTGAGCGTTTGACCAATCAGGTTTTCCTGGGTTTCACAGAAATTTTGTTTTTCCGATTTGTTCCAATTCCTACCATCATATGTGTCTTTAAATTGTACCAAAATAGTACAATCGCTGGAAAAAGGGGCAATTGCAAGAACAAGGAGAGTTGTCTTAGAAGACAGTTTGGGACACTCCAGTTTCCTTCAGAAAGCCATAGAATAGAGAGCACAGTGCTCAAACCAAAAGTGGTTGGTTCTAAAATGCTCAAAACGGGGTTGAAGTGGTGAAGAAGTTGGTTCAGAAGGTGAGAAATGCAGAATTATGCATACATGTCATGTACAGATGACTTGCTTAACGATGGTTTAGAGATTTGCCAGCTTATTCCATTTTATAACAATTGCTTTCAGAAAGTCAGAGAGCACATGCTTAACTTAAGCGGAGAATGTATTTGGATTAGCAAAGTGGTTTTGTCTAGTGCGAAGACGGAGAAGTGTAGAAATACAAGATGTCTTTAAGACGATGATTGAGTTTGCCAGTTCCTTCAAAACCAGAGAGAAGATTTAGTTCTAGTAGGCTTGACTTGAGATTCGTATAAAGTCCAAAGGTATTTAGAATCCCGTTTTACTGATGTATTTACATCTGTTTCTCATCAAAGTTCACTAGTCTTGTTCGGAGAAAAAAAAAAAAAAAAAAAAAAAAATCCTCCAGTTTCAAAACTGTTCCACCGACGCTGGACGCACTGGCAGTACAAAAGGGATTCAATAGAATATTTGGGCATCGGTCAGATAGCGAGAAGACTCGAAGCTCGACTCGGAGAGAATCGAAGGCAGTGAAATTGGCCTTAAGTTAACCCTTCTATGGAAACATGCATGGTCAGCCTAGTTTATTATTTGGCCTAATCTTGGCCAAGATAACTCCATTGGTTTAATATGAAAGCCACGAGTATCACCATACTAAAGTTTAGTGGTTTACGTGGCAAAAAAGTTAGGGTCAGAGTCGTTTCTGACAGAAGTATATAACGAGATGCGTTCAGAACGCAAACAAGACAGTCTCAGCAGACTTACACCAAAATATGGTGACATCCTCAGCGGATGTTTGGTATTGTAAACGTTACAATTGATATCCCCAGCGGATGATGATTCAGATTTGGCAAATAAGCTGTTCTTTTGTATTCAGAGTATAATTGTAGCAATAAGCAGTGGGAAATGCGCTTTTAATTAAATGCACTTAATAAAGAAAGTGTTTAGTAAGTTGATGCATGATTTTAATCTCGTTAAAGTAACAATCTTTGTTATTTTCCTTTTTGGAAGCTCATCTTCAACAGCGATAATTGGAGGCAGCGGAGTCCTCAATCAGCCAAAAGTCAAGAGCTGGATATAGTCTCGCCAGTCAACTGCTTTCCATGCTACTCGAGTCACAAGCCCCATCAACAGTCTCGCAGTACATATCATCCTTCACGAGATGGCGACAATGGGCAGAGTTGCACGGAATATCATCCCTACCCGCAGATCCTTACATGGTAGCCTTATACCTGATCCATATTGGAACTCTGCAACATCACCATGCACCTACAGTCACAAACTCTTTAGCTGTCATGTCATGGGTTCATCTCATGGCTAGTTGAGGACCATGATACAACCAAAGACCCTCTGGTGTCATACACCGCGCTATAGGTCTGACAAGAACACTGGTTAAGCCAAAGAAAGATCCAATTACACCAGATATTCTTTCTGAGATAGTGCCAAAATAGGGTAAAGACCGTTCAGTACACATCTTATTTCATATAAGAATCCTGGTCAAGGCCCTTATTTCATATACCGGGTCTTATCGGCTCAGTGAGTTAGCCGCACTTTAATTGAAGTATTTACGTGTTATCTCATGCACTCGGCCATGTGAATTCAGTTATTATTGCGAGGTAATTATTATCAACATGTACAGTTGCAATGTTGGAATTGTATGTCAAGTGAGTCAAAGTTTTCCCTTCAGATAAAGACCTTCTTTTGTGTTCATAAACTTAAACAAATGTTAAAGAAGAGTATAAAGTGATTTCATAGAGGTATAAACCGATGAAGTACTCGAGAGTTTGAGAGGGAAGGTTAGAGTTTTCACAGAGCAGCCCCATGCTGCTGTTTGAGTCTTAGCGGCTATCAAAGCAGATATCCAACAGGCTGTTCAAGCGTCATGGACGCCATATCAGAGACAGAGAAGGATACTTTAATATATCCAAGAGAGTGATTGCAATATGATGTTAAATATCTAAATCCTTTTGGGATTCAGCATTACAGACCCGTTCTTTATAGTTCATACCGGTTGCTGCTGCAAGCACAAATACCAAAATCAGGATGATTTGATTGTTTATTGTGTAGAATGGTGTTGAAATGATAAATATTGATTTATTCGGTTGAGTACCGGAACGAATTAGAATAAATCTGCTTTATCATTGATATGTAAATGAGACACGGTAGAGTGGTTAAGGGCGCGTAATTTGAATAGGGAGTGGCACAGGAATGTGTGCGTGGTTGGATTGAAGGTAGATCACTTCACGCTTGCGAGCAGCAACGACAACACACAATTTTTAACACAGTTGTTAAGTCTGGTTGTAATTTCATAGTTGTTCAATGTCTCAAACAGTATTTATAAGAGACGAACATTGCTACCCTTGCCTGAAGGAGTTGTCTTGCATAGTTCAGGTGTACGTTTCCATTTTTCCAAATATGGTTTTGGTTTTTCGTATCTGGCAGTCAACACAGCAATGTTAGATGGGGTACAATTCCAGAAACAGCCATAATGTAATAGATGAGTGGTATCTTGCGATTATTCAATTAAGTTTAGCTAAAGGCTCTGAAGCCTAAAGGAAAGTTCTGTGAAACTTAAAGGTTCAAATGAAATCCACAAGTGGCAATCAAGGTATGGTCGGAGTAGTTTCTGACGGAGGTATAAAACGAGATTTACAGGTTGGCAGTAAGATTCATAAAGGTCAGATCTACTAGATGAGATGCTAGAATTGTTCTAGCGATCTAATGCGTTCAGAACGCAAACAAGTCTGAATAGACATGCACCATAGTATGCGTGATTTATCCTCAGCGGAAGATATCTGGTATTGTACAAAACCAAAAGAGATAATTCTGAAAAGCTTGCCTTAATATAATATCAAATGTGGAACGATTATTCAGAAATAACCATGACAATTGTAAAGAGGAGGGAATCTCAAGGTTAATTCTAGTATTGATTACGCAAATATGATAAATGAAAGGCTCTTACGCCTAAATGATAGACCCTAGTTCTGTAAATATTGTCTCCATCAAGACGTCTTTAAGGTTCAAATTATTGAATGACCGTTATTAAAACACTGTCGTACCTGGTAGTCATCACAGCGATGAGATTAAATATAATATCAAATGGGGTACGAATAATTAGAATTAATCATAACAATTGCAAAAAGAGTGTTGTCTCAGGTATAATTCTGTATAATTAATTGATCACTTAAATGTGTCTATAATGAAAGGCTCTTACGCCTAGATAATAGATGATAGTTCTGTAAATACTATCAAGTCTTTAAAGGTTCGAATTATTGAAAGATGTAATTAAAACATTGGGTCGTCGTACCCGGTTGCTGCTGCAAGCACAAATACCAAAATCAGGATGATTTGATTGTTTATTGTGTAGAATGGTGTTGAAATGATAATTGCAGTTTCTGTAGGACCATGTCAAATAAATAAAGCTACCAGCATAACTGAAATAAAGAATTCAACAAACGCTCCGCCCCCCCCCCCCCCCCCCATTTTCCCATTTCTTGTCTTAGGTCCTTTAGTATCAATGTTGACTTTTTCCATCTCAAATGTCTGAAAGCTCAGTTATTAATTCATAAATTGCACAATTTTGTAAAAGTAAATGAATATACATAAACAAGTAAAACCATACAATATTTAAACCTTTTTTTTACATTTTGCATAGCAGAAATGATTTCTTTTAAACATAATTTACTGAAACCATTTCCCTATGTGATCACTTTTTATATAATAAACATCATTTGAAATATATTGTCCAACACAATTAAACTAATAAAGACTTTAAGTATATCGTTTAAACAGGAGGCCTTTTTTTTTTATACAAACCAACATATTTGTCAATATGATTGATGTGTATAGCTAACCTACATTCCACCTGTATTTCTGATTAATGAAATTAATAACAAAAAAGTGATCATTTTATGATCTTTATATTTATCTTAAATGTTTGTGGCAAAGTTGCAAATCACAAGCTAGCAAAGTAAATATCAAACCCTACATCATGTGCCATATACGAAAACCAAACTATAACAGCACAGAAACTAGACACAACTTATCTCTGGATAGCTATACACAATAGGATACAAGCAAAACAAATCTAGCTTTCTCACTCAAAAAGTGCTGGACTTTAGCCCCTTCTTAAAAATATATACGTATATATATCATGGATATTAATGTCCTTAAGAAAATCTACCTATACTATATTCTGAGTTGTTGAAAAAGTTGGGTTCAATGTGTTAATAACAGTGGTTCAACAGCAAAACTGAATGCGCTTAATACCACATTTTGACTGTTTACCGAGACACAAATGAACAATAGGATGGAAGCTTCCAAGAAGTTATATAAGTTAAATATGAACCAGAGTACGTGGATGTGCAGAAACCATGCCAGATGTTGACAATCATGCCGCATCAATCAAGCATGCAGGGACTTGTCTTGTTTTCCTTAAACTTTGCAAAAGCAAGAGAAGAAAACAACGCCCTTACTTGTTCATTGTTATAGTCATAAAGCAATGTGATTGGTCAGGTCAATGACAAAAATGTTTCAGATGTCACTGGGCATATGGAAGATGTTCATATAAAGCTAGAATAAATGCAGTAAGCAAAGCTTTGTCTTGCATAGATCAATGTGCACCTCCACATTCTCATGAGTCACACTTCATATGCCTTCTAGCAGTGTTGCAGTACTCATACTCATACTCCAGTACATTTCGTACTCATGGAAATGTACTTGACTACACCACTGCCTTTTAAGTACAATGTATGCTAATATTGACTGCAATGAGTGGTACAATCAAACGATACCATTGCAAGGTGATCCATACCATATTGTAAGTATATTCTCAAGGAAGAGTGGAGGGAAAATATAGCACTCCACGGATCACTAAGTGAAACTCTTTTTACTGTACCACACGTTAGAACAGTCAATATTTACTTTGTATAAACACCTCACCTACAGATACACCGGACAGCTGATTATATACTCCTAATGCAAGACAATATTTATTCAATTTGTGTGTACTGAAATTCACTTGTTATTGCACTTCTGCAATCTTCCCCTTGACAAAATGTTCACACTGGTGTTGCGCTATCAAGAAATGGTCTGCAAGAGCACCCACATCAACACAGACCTCCAGTTGCAGTGATGTAGTTCTTTAGTTGCTGTGCTTTTAGCACTTTGGGTCATGGACTAGTCTTTTGGACAATAGGCGGTAGTACAGTAACAACAAGTGAAGCTTAAAGCATTATTCATACTTGCATAGGTTTGTCTGGGAAGCAAAAGCAGCTACCCTGCACACACGGCACACGCATGAGGCACGTAAACCAGTCAGTGCTACCAGGACAGAAGTACCCCATAATTAGCTCTGAAACCCTGAGCTATGCAACAATTGCACATGCAAGTCGGGTTGCTAGTGGTACCACACTGCAACCTTCAAGAATGACAGTATATACGCATTTCATGGGAGGGATGTTCCATGGAATTCCAATGAATTTCTTCCAATGGAACTAATGAATTATGTATGGGTGTAACAGAACAAATACAACATGGTTCATTTCGGGTAAGTAGTGTATTACTTGTCCACGTTAGGAGGTATGGTAGTCCACATCAGCCCACCTTGGCACCAGTGATTTCACACTACCTCCTCTCACTCAGTGTAACTTGCCACTACTATTTCTCTGATCATGTTGCAATTTGTACAATACCATCAGCTGACACAATCTATGGGTGAGATGTTTAAGAGACTGGGCTCATGAAGAGCCAGTGCACATGCCTGAGGCTTAATGGCTTGTTACACCAGCGTGGAATTGACCACATCATGAGTTCGAGGTGTCGATATTGCCTGCGGTGCTGAAGGTCTACGGTAGGTTGGGTGACTTTGTTGCGTCGTGTGCTGAAGACTGAACTGACGGGGTTGCTGCCGGTGCGGTTCTTTCTGGGGAGGGGCATTAATTGTGGCGTTGATTTCCAGGGTCTGTGTACAGGCAGAAATGCAAAGAAAATTATTGTTAAAAAGATTACTTTTTGTTCCAAAATTTCATATTGCAATTCTCAGGCAATTGGGCATGTTTCCAAGTGCATAAACAAAACCTGGAAATGTACATGTACATGCATTTTAATAGCATTCAGGTAAAATGCAACAACATTTTCCACATGAAATCCTCTGTATTACAAAAATACATGACCAATGCACAAACACAAAAACACGTATTTCAAGAAGCAATTAGGAAGAAACTACATTACTGCCATAGAGCTACACTGAATTACTAGAGTGCTGACTCGATGTACAAAGTGATGGCTGATGGGCGCATCCATGTTTGTGCACAAACCTATGGAAAACTCAAACTTTTGTACGGCTATTTGTATCTGCGTTTGTATTCCATACAGGTGTGCTATCAAAGCCGATACACTCAAACTGAAATGCACAGTAAATTGAGTGTTTCATTTGCTCTGCGAAAATGTGTGCGCATATCTGCTGCAGCTGATTTTTGCCGTGACGTTTTTTAACCGTCATAATGTGCTTAACTTGCTTGCGTACATGTATGTAGCACTTGCACATTGCATTTAGAGTACACTTTCAAAATGCAATCCATCTAATTTCATTATGTTCTACAAACACGAACGTGAATTCAAAATGGCTGTGAGCAAGATGGTATAAAGTATCTTCATCCCAAGCTGGAGATATGATCCCAATTTCAGACCAAAGACCCAGGCAGGGGTAGCTTCCACCGCCGGTGACACAAGTTGCACCTCCCCCTTACCCCCCCCCCCCCACCCCTTCCCTCCCCGATAGACGTCACACGGAAAAAAGGTTACAGTTACTTAACAAAAACTTCGATGAAAACCGGCGTCTTCTCTCTTCGCAGCATTCAAAAGCTCCCTGTGGCAGAAAAAAAGAGCAAGTATACATTGTAAATTCAATATCCAAATTTTCTGACATCACGTCCTGTCATCAAACCTCCAATACATTTCCATTTTATCAACAAGTACTGTATGTCCAACTTGCCATCTCAAACTCCAAAGATATACCCCAAGGTCTACCTCCACGTTAAAATCCAGCAAGCCCATTCAAATGCAAGGAAGCGCATCAAAACAGAGACGTTTTGCAAGGAGAAACATTACTCATTTACCTGTGGGAGATGAATGCTGCACTTGGACGACCTTACTTCTGTGCCCTTCATCTTCAATCTGCACACACAGAAAAGAGAAAACTGGGAAGAAACAAAAAGTGTTAGTGAAATGTCAAAACTCTGCATCTTTGAACATTCAACGAAGACGAACGGAACTGAAACAAGGGGTGAACACAGTGGGCCCGGACAAATAGGGAGACGAAACAGACAGACATGAACAGAACGCAACAAAACAGCCGGCAACCTACCACACACACTTTCACAACGGTCGTCCTGGGGCTAAGACCTGCAAAGAGGACATATCTCCATCCCCAGCTGGAGATATGATCCCAATTTCAGACCAAAGACCCAGGCAGGGGTAGCTTCCACCGCCGGTGACACAAGTTTCACCTCCCCCTTACCCCCCCCCCTTCCCTCCCCGATAGACGTCACACGGAAAAAAGGTTACAGTTACTTAACAAAAACTTCGATGAAAACCGGCGTCTTCTCTCTTCGCAGCATTCAAAAGCTCCCTGTGGCAGAAAAAAAGAGCAAGTATACATTGTAAATTCAATATCCAATTTTCTGACATCACGTCCTGTCATCAAACCTCCAATACATTTCCATTTTATCAACAAGTACTGTATGTCCAACTTGCCATCTCAAACTCCAAAGATATACCCCAAGGTCTACCTCCACGTTAAAATCCAGCAAGCCCATTCAAATGCAAGGAAGCGCATCAAAACAGAGACGTTTTGCAAGGAGAAACATTACTCATTTACCTGTGGGAGATGAATGCTGCACTTGGACGACCTTACTTCTGTGCCCTTCATCTTCAATCTGCACACACAGAAAAGAGAAAACTGGGAAGAAACAAAAAGTGTTAGTGAAATGTCAAAACTCTGCATCTTTGAACATTCAACGAAGACGAACGGAACTGAAACAAGGGGTGAACACAGTGGGCCCAACAAATAGGGAGACGAAACAGACAGACATGAACAGAACGCAACAAAACAGCCGGCAACCCACCACACACACTTTCACAACGGTCGTCCTGGGGCTAAAACCTGCAAAGAGGACATATCTCCATCCCAAGCTGGAGATATGATCCCAATTTCAGACCAAAGACCCAGGCAGGGGTAGCTTCCACCGCCGGTGACACAAGTTTCACCTCCCCCTTACCCCCCCCCCCCTTCCCTCCCCGATAGACGTCACACGGAAAAAAGGTTACAGTTACTTAACAAAAACTTCGATGAAAACCGGCGTCTTCTCTCTTCGCAGCATTCAAAAGCTCCCTGTGGCAGAAAAAAAGAGCAAGTATACATTGTAAATTCAATATCCAAATTTTCTGACATCACGTCCTGTCATCAAACCTCCAATACATTTCCATTTTATCAACAAGTACTGTATGTCCAACTTGCCATCTCAAACTCCAAAGATATACCCAAGGTCTACCTCCACGTTAAAATCCAGCAAGCCCATTCAAATGCAAGGAAGCGCATCAAAACAGAGACGTTTTGCAAGGAGAAACATTACTCATTTACCTGTGGGAGATGAATGCTGCACTTGGACGACCTTACTTCTGTGCCCTTCATCTTCAATCTGCACACACAGAAAAGAGAAAACTGGGAAGAAACAAAAAGTGTTAGTGAAATGTCAAAACTCTGCATCTTTGAACATTCAACGAAGACGAACGGAACTGAAACAAGGGGTGAACACAGTGGGCCCGGACAAATAGGGAGACGAAACAGACAGACATGAACAGAACGCAACAAAACAGCCGGCAACCCACCACACACACTTTCACAACGGTCGTCCTGGGGCTAAGACCTGCAAAGAGGACATATCTCCATCCCAAGCTGGAGATATGATCCCAATTTCAGACCAAAGACCCAGGCAGGGGTAGCTTCCACCGCCGGTGACACAAGTTTCACCTCCCCCTTACCCCCCCCCCCCTTCCCTCCCCGATAGACGTCACACGGAAAAAAGGTTACAGTTACTTAACAAAAACTTCGATGAAAACCGGCGTCTTCTCTCTTCGCAGCATTCAAAAGCTCCCTGTGGCAGAAAAAAGAGCAAGTATACATTGTAAATTCAATATCCAAATTTTCTGACATCACGTCCTGTCATCAAACCTCCAATACATTTCCATTTTATCAACAAGTACTGTATGTCCAACTTGCCATCTCAAACTCCAAAGATATACCCCAAGGTCTACCTCCACGTTAAAATCCAGCAAGCCCATTCAAATGCAAGGAAGCGCATCAAAACAGAGACGTTTTGCAAGGAGAAACATTACTCATTTACCTGTGGGAGATGAATGCTGCACTTGGACGACCTTACTTCTGTGCCCTTCATCTTCAATCTGCACACACAGAAAAGAGAAAACTGGGAAGAAACAAAAAGTGTTAGTGAAATGTCAAAACTCTGCATCTTTGAACATTCAACGAAGACGAACGGAACTGAAACAAGGGGTGAACACAGTGGGCCCGACAAATAGGGAGACGAAACAGACAGACATGAACAGAACGCAACAAAACAGCCGGCAACCCACCACACACACTTTCACAACGGTCGTCCTGGGGCTAAGACCTGCAAAGAGGACATATCTCCATCCCAAGCTGGAGATATGATCCCAATTTCAGACCAAAGACCCAGGCAGGGGTAGCTTCCACCGCCGGTGACACAAGTTTCACCTCCCCCTTACCCCCCCCCCCCTCCTCCCCGATAGACGTCACACGGAAAAAAGGTTACAGTTACTTAACAAAAACTTCGATGAAAACCGGCGTCTTCTCTCTTCGCAGCATTCAAAAGCTCCCTGTGGCAGAAAAAAAGAGCAAGTATACATTGTAAATTCAATATCCAAATTTTCTGACATCACGTCCTGTCATCAAACCTCCAATACATTTCCATTTTATCAACAAGTACTGTATGTCCAACTTGCCATCTCAAACTCCAAAGATATACCCAAGGTCTACCTCCACGTTAAAATCCAGCAAGCCCATTCAAATGCAAGGAAGCGCATCAAAACAGAGACGTTTTGCAAGGAGAAACATTACTCATTTACCTGTGGGAGATGAATGCTGCACTTGGACGACCTTACTTCTGTGCCCTTCATCTTCAATCTGCACACACAGAAAAGAGAAAACTGGGAAGAAACAAAAAGTGTTAGTGAAATGTCAAAACTCTGCATCTTTGAACATTCAACGAAGACGAACGGAACTGAAACAAGGGGTGAACACAGTGGGCCCGGACAAATAGGGAGACGAAACAGACAGACATGAACAGAACGCAACAAAACAGCCGGCAACCCACCACACACACTTTCACAACGGTCGTCCTGGGGCTAAGACCTGCAAAGAGGACATATCTCCATCCCAAGCTGGAGATATGATCCCAATTTCAGACCAAAGACCCAGGCAGGGGTAGCTTCCACCGCCGGTGACACAAGTTTCACCTCCCCCTTACCCCCCCCCTTCCCTCCCCGATAGACGTCACACGGAAAAAAGGTTACAGTTACTTAACAAAAACTTCGATGAAAACCGGCGTCTTCTCTCTTCGCAGCATTCAAAAGCTCCCTGTGGCAGAAAAAAAGAGCAAGTATACATTGTAAATTCAATATCCCAATTTTCTGACATCACGTCCTGTCATCAAACCTCCAATACATTTCCATTTTATCAACAAGTACTGTATGTCCAACTTGCCATCTCAAACTCCAAAGATATACCCCAAGGTCTACCTCCACGTTAAAATCCAGCAAGCCCATTCAAATGCAAGGAAGCGCATCAAAACAGAGACGTTTTGCAAGGAGAAACATTACTCATTTACCTGTGGGAGATGAATGCTGCACTTGGACGACCTTACTTCTGTGCCCTTCATCTTCAATCTGCACACACAGAAAAGAGAAAACTGGGAAGAAACAAAAAGTGTTAGTGAAATGTCAAAACTCTGCATCTTTGAACATTCAACGAAGACGAACGGAACTGAAACAAGGGGTGAACACAGTGGGCCCCGACAAATAGGGAGACGAAACAGACAGACATGAACAGAACGCAACAAAACAGCCGGCAACCCACCACACACACTTTCACAACGGTCGTCCTGGGGCTAAGACCTGCAAAGAGGACATATCTCCATCCCAAGCTGGAGATATGATCCCAATTTCAGACCAAAGACCCAGGCAGGGGTAGCTTCCACCGCCGGTGACACAAGTTTCACCTCCCCCTTACCCCCCCCTTCCCTCCCCGATAGACGTCACACGGAAAAAAGGTTACAGTTACTTAACAAAAACTTCGATGAAAACCGGCGTCTTCTCTCTTCGCAGCATTCAAAAGCTCCCTGTGGCAGAAAAAAAGAGCAAGTATACATTGTAAATTCAATATCCAAATTTTCTGACATCACGTCCTGTCATCAAACCTCCAATACATTTCCATTTTATCAACAAGTACTGTATGTCCAACTTGCCATCTCAAACTCCAAAGATATACCCCAAGGTCTACCTCCACGTTAAAATCCAGCAAGCCCATTCAAATGCAAGGAAGCGCATCAAAACAGAGACGTTTTGCAAGGAGAAACATTACTCATTTACCTGTGGGAGATGAATGCTGCACTTGGACGACCTTACTTCTGTGCCCTTCATCTTCAATCTGCACACACAGAAAAGAGAAAACTGGGAAGAAACAAAAAGTGTTAGTGAAATGTCAAAACTCTGCATCTTTGAACATTCAACGAAGACGAACGGAACTGAAACAAGGGGTGAACACAGTGGGCCC